GTGGCAGGGGTGCGTGTGTGGAGGGATGGGTTTGTGGGCGACGAGGCATGGCAAGTGTGTGCGTGTGTGGGGGGGGGGGATTTAAGGGTGGCCGCGCGGCGGCGACAGGATCGGCCGAATTTCCGGCTCGCCGCGCGTGCAGGCGTGTGCGCCCCGGGCGCGCCCGGCCTCCGGCGCCGGATGCTCCTCCCCACGCATGCTGCCCTCACTGTGACCCATCTCATGCGATGGCTGCCTCCGTCCCCCCTCCCCCCCCCCCAGGACCACCATTGTCATGAACATCCCCTACACCGCAGTCCACTTCTCGGTCTACGAGTCGGCCAAGACCTTCCTGCTGGGGCACCCCGGCGGCGCGGCGGCGGGCGGCGCAGACGCCACCGGCGGCAGCAGCAGCGATTGCGGCGGCAGCAGCGGCGGCGTGGTGGGTGGCGGGCTGGGGGCAATTGAGGTGGGGGAGCCAGAGGAGGGTTTGGCGGTGCAGCTGGTGGCCGGCGGCCTGGCGGGCGGCGCGGCGGCGGCGGTGACGACGCCGCTGGACGTGGTCAAGACGCGGCTGCAGACGGAGGGCGTGGCGTCGCCGCGGCGCTACAGGACGAGCGCGGTGGTGGGTGGCCGGGTTGGGCTGCTCGCCCCTGCCGGCCTGTCGTTCTTTGGGGTAGAGGGTAGAGCGGCTGTTTTGGGGGGCACTCTGGGGGCTGCCGCTGGGCTCCTGCCTCCAGGGGAGTGTGATGCGACGGCACCCAAGTGGGTGTGGCGATGGGAACACAGCTAGCGTCCAGGAGGGCAACCATGCTTGCGCAAACACATCCAGCGGTTGCCCCCTCTTGCACCCCACTGGACCCCCCACGGCCCCGCCCCCGCCCTCCGCCCCGCAGCTGCCCGTCCTGCGGCGCATCATCAGCGAAGAGGGCGCCGCCGGCGCATGGCGGGGGCTGCGGCCGCGCGTGCTGTTCCACGCGCCGGCGGCGGCGATCTGTTGGGGCACATACGAGTCAATGAAGGGCTTGCTCGGCAGCTGATTTCGCGCCCAGGCCCTGCACCCCGCCGGCAGGGCCGCCGTCAAACTCTCGTCTTAGTAGAGATATGCACACGCGGCCGCCAGCTGCACGGCCCGCTTCGGCCCGCGGCCGGCAGGGGGCGCCGCGGAGCGCCCCGGCGCTGCCCTGCTGGCGGGTCGCCCCCGCCGGCTGCGCTGTTCTGGGTTGTCGTTTGTATTGTAGAAGCCAGGGTGCAGCGCAGGGCCCAGCCACAGTCATCGGCGGGGCCGCACCAGCCGTCCCTCTTACAGATATCTAGAGCAGGGTCTGCGCCTGGTGCTGCGGCACAGTCGCCATGCCTGTTACAAGCCGCGCCAGCCACGCACGACAATTTGTGTTGAGCTGTCAGCGGCACGCAGCACGAGCTTGCGCCGGGTCCATCGCTCCAGCTTAGTGATGCAGCGCCCGCGTTTCATGCGGCCGGCGCTAAAGGCATGCCCGCTTTGTGCATGCTGGTGTGCGCCTGGGCCCCGCCAGCACCTCAAGAGGGCGAAACGCCGCGCCTGCACCTTGCGCGGCGCCACCGCCTGCGTCCGCCCTGCAAGGACACGCCCGTCATACGCGTGTCTCTCCCTTTCTCCGCCGGCCGGGGGCGTGCGTGCCCTTCAGGCGCGCTGCGAAGCCTCTGACCCGCTGCAGAGCTGCACAGTCCGCAGTTCGCCCCTGCCGGAGCCTGCAGCTGCGGCGCATCCCCTTTTGACCACGCTGCCGACATTCTCAGGGGTAACACGGTGATCACGGTTCTGTAATGGGGTAAGCACTGTTTGTATGCATGACGCGGCATTGCCACCGCCAGCAATGCTGGGCGACGGCACCGCGAGTGCTGTGTGCAAGCATGACCCAGGGGCATGGCGATGCACCGGTCATTGTGTGTCAAATGGGTGGCACTCGTGTGTTTGACCGGCGGCGTCAGGGAGGGCCCCCCACGCCAACGGCATTCTGGTAACCCGCTTCCATGCTTTCTAAGCAGTACGTCGTACGGAGGCGGATTATGAAGCAACCAGACAGCCGAGACAGACGCAATGGGTGCAGCAAGGCAACGCTTCCACGCGCGGCGCTCTGGCGCGGCCTCAGGCGCGCCGAGGCTGGAACAAGAGGCCGCCGGTTGAGCCGCGCGGCTCGCGCTCGAGGCGCCTTGCTCCCCTCAACTTCACGACGCGCTCAGCCGCCGCAAACTGTTTGCGGCGCTCCCTCAAACAGTTTGCGGCGGCCCCAAACTTTCGCTCATGAGCAGGGGCAGGGCGCTCACGCAGCCTGGGCCGTGGCCTTGTTGACCCGCGAGAGGATGAGGTTTGTGAACACGATGGACACAAAGTGGGCCAACAGGACGTTGGTGGACGCCTGAGGTTGGCGGTTAGGGGGGGCGTTGCAGGGAGGATTCGATTGGGAGGGGGCGGCGTCGAGGGGCAAGTGTCTGGACGGCCGGCTGCACCGCGACACACAAAGCCTGTGTGGGAGGCCCCCAGGCGCAAAGGGCGGCCGGCGCGCAAGTGGAGGCGGGGGCCTGGGGCTGCGGCGCGGGATAGCATGTGCAGGAGTGCGGTTCGCAAGACGGTGGCGCTCGGCGGGTCAGACCTGGAGGGAGAAGACGTCCAGGGAGACCAGGGTGGCCCCCGGCTGCGGGGTGGCGTAGGGCGCGTTGGCGGCGCCCAGCATGGTCTTGGATACCAGGGTGCCCACTGCGGTTGAGGGGGAGGGGGAACGAGGACTGTTCAGGGGGGGGGTGCTCTTCAGTTGTTGTCGAGGGGTCTGTGGAAAGTGTTGGAGGGTCTGGTGGAGGTGATCCAGAGGTTGAAGTGCAAAGGGGCCGAGAGATAGAGGCGGCAGCCGGCAGGGGCGAGGGGGCCGAGAGATAGAGGCGGCAGCCGGCAGGGGCGAGGGGGCCGAGAGATAGAGGCGGCAGCCGGCAGGGGCGAGGGGGAACGGTGCGTGAGGAGGCCACAGCTGCTGGCGAGGAGCGCTGTTGTATGTGTGCATGCTGAGGCGTTCGGCACAGGCCTGCCGGACAGTGGCCGCTCGCCCGCCGCTGGTGCGGTCAAAGGAGCCCAGCGTGATTACGCCACGCCACAGGTCAATAAGCGCCGCTGTCGCCGGCGCGACGCACCCGAGGCCTGCAGGCCGAGCAGCACCACGCCGATGCCGGCCAGGTTGATGTTGGTGTTGCGCACCTGGGGGCAACATTGGGGGGGAAGAGAGAGGCGAGGGCGAGGACGGGGACGAGCAGCTGGGTTTCAAGTCTGGATGAGCCGAGAGCCGCAGGAACGGCCTGCTCTGTGCATGAGCCACTTGCCGGCGGCAGGGGCGAACCGCATGGCTGCTGGTCCCAGCTGCCAGCGCAGCCGCGCCCAGCTGCCCGGCCCGGGGGTCCCCAGCCGCCCCTTCTGTCGTCCAAGCACAGTCGACCTCGATCGCAACGCGGCCCCGCGGCCTAGCCATGCGCCCTGCATGCTGCCTTGCAGCCTCATGCGGATCAAGCGCGATTCCCCGCCGTCTGCAGCAGGCAGTGGGTGCGCGGGGGCAGCTACCCACCAGGTTCTGCACGAGGGCGCTGCGCCTGACGGCCTTGCCCTCGTTAATGGCCTGGCGGGCCAGTGTCAGGAAGCCGTGTGCGAAGAATGTGGAAATGAAGGAGGCCACGATGCCCAGGAACGTGAAGATGCGGCTGATGTCGGGAGGCTGTGTGTGTGTGTTGAGTTGTGTGTGTGTGTATGTGTAAGTGTGTGTCTGTGTGTGTGTGTATCAGAGTGTGTGTGTGTGTGTGTGTGAGAGAGAGAGAGAGAGAGAGAGAGAAAGAGAGAGAGAGAGAGATTATGTGAAAAACACTGTGTATCATGTTGATGGACGTGTTTCTTATGGGCGCATGGGCTTGTTGTGGGCGTACGCACTCGCGCATGAGAGTTCATTGGGCATCACAGGAGAGGACGTCAGCAGCATGTGCCATAATCAGCGGGGGCGCCATCCACTCCGTCAGGGCTGCAGATGCCGAGCTGTTGCAGCTACCGTCTAACTGACGAACCACTTTTTGAATGCTCTACAGAATGCGCCGCCCGAGGCTGCCGCCCCCGCGAGGCTGCCGCCAGCAACCCAAGTGCACGCACCGACTGCGCTGTGACGAAGCTCGCGAAAAACAGGATGGACGCCGACACCACCGTCAGCGGCAGCTGCACCCAGAAGCTTCCCCACGCCAGGTTGCGCACGGCGGGCGCGTTGTTGCCCAGGCTGTCGCCGCTGATGGACAGGTCGGCGCGCACAGACAGCTGCGGGGCAGCAGCGTGAGCGATGATGCGGGGGCGGGCGTGCAAACTATCATGCGTGGGCGCGTGGACTGGGCCGACACATTCACTCATGGCAGTAGCGATACATAATCTGCCGCTCGAACGTATCACCGTGGGAGACGCGTTGAGCCTGGCCGTTGCCGGAGATCAACGCGACCGCTCGGGTTCACCTGCTTGCGTGCAGGGCCGGCACACGTCCTTAAAACGGCACCTGGGGTCCTCCTCTTAAGCCCCATGGGCAGGACGGCTGGGCGTGCCACCCCTGAGCGAACCAACACTGCATTCATGCTCGTGGCACGCATAGCGGTCTGCATCTTGGATGGTTAGTGGATTTTTCGGCCAAGAGATACTTGAGAAAATCAATGGGTTCTGTCGCAATGTATGTGGACGTGCTGTTGACTGCCATTCGCATGCATGCGCCGCAGAGCCACCCTGGCAGGTGTGCACATGCCGCGAAGCTCACAGCACCTGAGGGGATCAGCGCGTCATCAGCCACCAGGCTTCTACATGGGCTCTTTGCCAGAAAGTTACATCAAATGGAGGCTGCACGAGCAAGTATGACCGGCAGTCAACAACGCCTTGCACAGGCGAGGAGTCACCCGGGACATGCCTGCCTTGTTGCAGGCAGGGGCTCACCCCAGGAAATGCTGCGACCCAAACAATCACTCCATCCACTCGATCCGGAACGCGACCGGCGGCGCCGCACCGCTCGCCGCCTGGAAAGCGACGACGTTGCCCGGCGCCAGCAC